GTGTTCTGGAACAGTGTTGTAAATACAACTTAACCACTGATTTCTAGTCGTGTCCTCTTTTGCAACAAAGTACAAAGTAGTTTCGCTTTCACAACAAAACACACAGCGTCTTCACGACATGGTGGCAGCGGCCTACAGCGAGTGACTCTTAACTTTTATAAAGAATATCTCTTTGGATTTGAGACTTTAGTCTTTGCAACTTTACAGATCTTCTTTATGCACCAAGAGCTTGTAACACTCCAAAGAGAAAGGAAAAATTGAAATTGCATCATATGACCCCTTTAATAGATTTGAACTATACTTGGTATGAAATAAATGTATTTTAAATATATATATACTTATAAATATAAATATAAAAATACTTTTTTACTAGGAAATACAGCCTTGAGACTTCTTTCAAACACGTTTAAAAATCTTACAACCCCAAACTTTTGAACAGTATATGTAAAAAATGTATGTATGTATGTATAAATATGATTTAGTTATAATTTTGTGTTCTACATATAACTGCAAGTAATTACAATAATAAATGTTTACAAATTTTTACAATAATAACATTTTTTTGGAGTGTCAGCCATTCAGCATCATTGTGTTCATCTGCATATTCTCTCCTCTCAGTGTAAATGAATGAGAGCAGTAATAGTGCATACATCCTTGCAGTAGTATTCATTTGCACGTGCAGTTATCATATCCAAAATGATTTTCAGGCATATTTGCATTGACAACGCCCTTTATATTTGCATGCGTATGGAGGTAAATTACATATCCATTAAGAGAAACGCGCACATGAGAAGCTATTTTTTTGGTTCATTTGTTAGACACAATCTTCATACAACCACATTACTTAGTAGATCAACTCAGACATTATGTGTGCATGCTCTTAATATTTTTTGGATCAATCTGTTTTAAACTCTTAAATCAGGGCTAATGTGTCCATCCTATTGAATTGCATTCAGTATATATTTTGTCTGTTTTTTAGATACCATGTTGTGTCCAACTCAGTCATTATTTGTCAATCATACCCTCAACCTCTTCCAGGTCCTGCAGTGCAATTGTTCAGTCGGCACCGTAACATTCCACGTGACTGTCACTCAGCAGTCACCTGCAGCCGTTTCCATGGATACCTACCAGATCACAATGAAGCCCTTGCAGGCCCAGGTAAAATACAAATGAAATGGATTTGCATCTGCGAGTTTGCATCAGTCTGCATAGCTGCACACTCAACTTTCATTAGTCTGACATCTCCTGCCACTGCTCACATGAATGAGCCTCTCAGTTTGCCCATTTCTTTCCATCTCAATAGCTTAATGTAGATTGTGAGGTTTAGTGGCTATGAATATTGCATGCGATACTCATCTCAAACAAGCGACACCACTTGATGCGCAGTGCCATAGTTTAATGTTTCATCTCTAGGTGGTAAAAAATGGAGCAGCCATCGATGAATATATTACTTTTGCAAATTCAGTGTGAAATAGAAGTTAATATGTTCTGTATGGACTTCTGTAGTTGCGGGTCTGTCTTGAGGAAGTGGAAGAAGAGGGTCTCCTTGTGTCCTGGACTTTTTCCAAGCAACCTCATCTCTCTTTAACCGTAACACCATGCCAAAGAGTCCAGAAAGAGGTAAGGGAGTAGTTTTGGTCAAGTAGGTCTTGTTCCTTTCAGCTTGTGATGTATTACAAATTGTAAACGGTATAAAAAGAAACTGCTTTTGCAACTATGCATATAATCTGAAATCTTTGTTTGTTTTTGTCTTTAGGGCTCTGATGTGGAAGTGGACAGTGAAATGATTGCGGCGCTGGTGGAGGACACACTGTACACAACACACCCTGCCATGATCCTCAACCTGAGAGCCTGTGTATCAAGCCCTGCGGTAAAAAATACCAGTATCGATTGCTATATCGCACAGTAGGGGTTATGACCATGTAATGGGTCAGTGTGTTGACCAAGGTTTCTGCAGGCCTTAAAAAGGTCCCTTTCACAAATCAAGGCCTTAGAAAGGTCTTAAATCAGAGCAGAAGGTCATGGTATTAAATGTTGCATGCATTGCTAAAAAATTATATCTTCCTCAGTATTTTTGTTTTGTTTTCCAATACAGATATTTAAACATGCTTAAAACAAGATTCATTTACTTGAGATGCAAAATAAAGATATGAAGTCTTGTTTTCTGAGAAATTGAACAGAATTGAGTGAGTTTGTTTGGAACAAGAACAAATATGTGTCACCCTAGGTCCTGCTGAGTCTGGACACTCCTTCCACTGAACGGAGAACCGGCTTCCTTACTCCTTCCCCCAGTCCTGGAGTAGCCCTGCACTGGACTGACGACTTTACACTGTAAGCACACTATTCTGCCATTATGTGATTGTAAAGGCAGATATAGATCAACAAAGTCTGAAACTATATGAATGGACTGGATTGAAACATTCTGAGTGAGGTGTTGACATGTCTGACTCCTAGGAAATGTTTCTTATAATGTCATATTCTATTAGACAGGGTCCTTTTTGTTCATGTAAGTAATTTAACTCTGTGCTGCAGGACTAGACTGATAACACCTTCCATTTAAAGGTCAACTTCACCAATTCAGTTTGACACAATGGAGTGTTTTCATCAAAGCCCGTTTTATAATGGCAGCCCTTCTGTCATGAATGAAGGTGTGAAGCTGTGAGCAGCTCCACCAATGGCTCTGTGAATATATGCAGCAGCCAACTCCCATAGAAACAAAGAGCTGTTTAGCACATTTAATTACAGCCATTCCCAACACTTCGCTACTTCCTGTGATGCCAATTACCAGAATGGCCAATTTAATTCTCATAGCCAGTATACAGATTGCTGCTGTGTGGCTGAAGCGGATATTTAGTCTACCACAATACCGATAGTATACAACAGTTATAAAATTGTATGCAAAAGTTATACAACAGTTATAACAGTTGAAACCTAAAATACAGTTTCAACTGTTAAAGTCAATTCAGTCTTTTAATAATACAAAAAGTCACTTCATCTCCAATGTTCAGTATTACAAAATTAAAGTTTTCTGTGTGTGCATTTTATATGATAAATCAAAGTCTGTTTTTATCAATTAGGGAAGTAGGACCAGAAACCAAAGAACTCAAAGTAAGACTTGTGGAGAAGAACAGCAAAGGAGAACGTGAGTCACTTTTCAGTGCCTGTCATTCAATAGTTCATCCAGCACTATAAGAAATGTATTGATTTCAGATGATCTGGTGAATGATTAAAGACTGATATTCTCCATTCTGTTTGTCTGCTGATTAATTGGTTTTCTTTTTCCTGTTTGACAGAGTTTCTGCCTGGTTGTGCTTCCTTACAACTGGATCTCTCTAAGAGAATTCCTAATGGACACCATAAACTGTCCATCGCACCAGGTCATGGTCTGGCTCCAACTGCAATTGTAACATTAGAAGTAAGGACAGCATAAAGTATAATTCAGGTTTTATATTTTATATGCACTAACTTTCAAAAGTTTGGGGATGGTAAGACTAATCTTTTGGTAAGAAGTATTTTATGCTCACCAAAGTTGCATCTATTTGACAAAAATAAAACAGTAAAACAGTAATATTGTGAAATATTATTACAATTTAAAATAAATATTTTCTATTTAATATATTTTAAAATGTAATTTATTCATGTGATGGTATAGCTGAATTTTTAGCCAGAAGCCATTAGCCAGTCATCAGTGTCACATGATTCTTCAGAAATCATTCTGTATATTTATATTCATTATAAATGTCTTTTAGTATAAATGTAACTTTTGATCAATTTAGTGTGTCCTTGCTAAATAAAAGTAATATATTTAAAAAATCTATTTACCCGAAATGAGATAATTCCCATGTATAAAGTATACATATGGATGGCATTATTTCCATGATAACACGGCAGTCAGAACTTTTAAGGCTTCCGCCAACCTTGTGTTCACTTTCCGAACACTCTGATAAGTCCCTTCTAAATGTCAATGTGAATTATTTAATAGAAAACATATCTTATTACAGTGGTCTGCCTTGTGAATTGAATGCTCACCTTATCTCTGATTAACTCGATAATGGAATTATTTCTTTATTTAACCCAGTACTTCAGTTAACACTGTACTTGTTACACACATGTGCTTACAGGTACACACTTAAACGCTCTGAATAATAGTTGTGTTTGTGAACAACACATTGGCAAAAAAAACAGCTCAAAATGATTTAGGAAGATATCAGTGGCTGTATTAACCCTATTTCTAATTTCTTTAAAAAAATGAACGTACATGAATTATGTTTAAGGTAATGATCTTATGTTTCTGCCTCCATAGCTGTTGTATTTGGAGTCCAGTGATTTGCGTGCATGTCAGAATGCCACTCCTCTGCGAACCTCGGTCACCCCCTCAAAGAAGGTGGACGTGGATCGGACCATCATGCCCGATGGCACCATAGTCACCACAGTAACCACCATCCAGTCACGACTAAAACTGGACCGCAAACTAGGTAAAGCTCACTCAGGAACACTGAGAACATGCATACCATTCTGTCTGCATCGTCCAGTACCATCGAAGTGACTTGGCTGTTTTACCCTATCCTATTTCTTCCTCTGTAACTGCAGGAGACTCTCCGTCTAGGTCTCCCTCAAAGGTGGAGGTGACTGAAAAGACTCCCACCGTGCTCACAAATAGCTTGCAGAGCACCAGTGCCACTCCTACCCCCAGCAGTGAGCTCCACATTAACATTTTTTTTTTGATGCATTAAATTGATTAAAAGTAAGAGTAAAGACATTTAGAATGTTTACAAAAGATTTCTATTTCAAACTTAATTATGTGCTTTGAAATTTTTATTAATCAAAGAATCCTGAAAACAAATGTATCATGGTTCCTACTAAAATATTGAGCAGCACAACTGTTTTCAACACTGATAAACACCAAACCAGCATATTAGAATGATTTCTGAGGGATCATGTGACACTGAAGACTGGAGTAATGGCGGTTGAAAATTCAGCTTTGCCATTACAGAAATAAATTACATTCTAAAATCTATTAAAATTAAAAAAAAAGAAAACTGTTATTTTAAATTGTAATACCATTTCACAATTTAACTGTTTAAATGTATTTTTGATCAAATTAATGCAGTGTTGGTAAGCATAAGAGACGTCTTTCAAAAACTTTAATAAATTTTACAGACTCCAAACATTTAAATGGTCATTTACATCTTCATAATCTTTATAATTTATAATTAAATTGAAAAGGTTTTTAATAATTGAAATCTTTATAATTGAAATGTGTAAATATGTTCTAGATTTAAAGTCATAAGTTCACAAAATTAGTATCACAAATGTATAATAAATTATTTATACTGTTGTGTATATTATTTTTAACAATGTATTTTTGTTAATATTATTAATTTATTAAATATCAATATATTATTTATTATAAACTGATTTTTGTTCATATTAAAATACATTTTGTAAATATTATTTATTGTAGATAGCTAGATAGATAGATAGATAGATAGACATAATTTTTTACAGTATAATTTGAATGAATAACTGGAAGGTTTGTGATCCTGTTGTGTTTGTGTCTGTGTGCTATTTCCAACCAGACGGCACCCTCCCTAATGGGCTGGATCCCGTAGCAGAAACGGCCATTCGGCAGCTGACCGAGTCAGCGAGTAAGGTACCCAAGAAGACACCTACTAAACGCAGCACTCTCATCATATCTGGCGTGTCAAAGGTCAGAGCCTGAACATCAAGTAAACAGACATTTCTAATCAGTGTCATAAAAACATCTTGGTTACAGTGAGGCAAGCATCTAGGGAAATGATCACGAGAACAGTCTCTTTAGAGCTTCCCCAGGGTAATTTGTTTAGTCATCTCTTTCCGTTACATAATGTTGATGTAACTCTCATCAGGACACTTTTTAGCTGGGAAATTGTCTCTTTTAGGCTGTTATAACACAGAAAAGTTACATTTACCTAATGTTGACTTCCTTTTAAACATTGTAATCTATAAGTTTGTAAATCTAAATTTCATCACAAGCTCAGTCGTCTCATATCACATCTCAAAAATCATCAGAACATACTGATCCGTTTGCCGTTTCAAATTCACTGTCTGACCTGACAGGGTTCACAGAAGGGCTGACAGCGGAGCCGCTTCTGCAAATACACAGCCAACATGTTGTCTTCCTCAGCTGTGCCTGAAGCACATGTACATGAGGAACACTGTGTTAAAACTAATGTTCTGTCCTTCCCTCAGGTCCCCATTACTGAAGATGACTCAGCCTTATCAGTGGGCTACGCTGCAGCAATGGACGCAGCCCTACAGGGAGCGCATTCTCCCAGCGGAGCCCCAAACCACCACGGAGCATCCGCACATCAGGAAGCAGACGAGACTACGCTATCTGACGTGTCCGAGCGACCATCCGTGGATGACGTGGAGTCAGAGACGGGATCAACCGGAGCACTGGAAACACGTAGCCTCAAAGACCACAAAGGTGTGAACTTCTTTGGAATGTATTTTTGATGTATTCATCATAAAATGT